TCCTTCTGCTCCCTGCAGAGTGATTATGAGAATCCCTTAATCTGTCTCTGTCAGAATGTCTAATTCATACCTCAAAAGTTCCTCCTCGTTTTTCCTTCCTCTTCCTTTTGGACTAAAAAGTATCGTTCTTCCTTTATAAGACCAACCATTTGCCACCGCTCTTGCCTCTCTTTTCCAATTTCCTACAGGACGTCCCTATCATCTTACCTCTCTCCCTTTCTCCACAGCTCAGTTCATTCCTATTTTAAAGTAATGTTAGCTGGTAGTGGTGCACACCTTTAATCCCAGGCAAGGGCAGACAGATCTCTGTAAGTTCCAGCCTGGTCTATGGAGCAAGTTCTAGGACAGCCAGAGATGTTACGCAGAGAAGCCCTTTGTGTGGTGTGTGGTGTGTGTGTGTGGGGGGGGGGGGGGGGTAATGTTAACTGAGCATGCCTTTAACCCCAGTGCTCAATCTTTAACCCTACTGTCTCAACCTTCTGAGTACTGAGATTCTATATGTGTGCCATATCTATGGTCTTGTTTGTTTGTTTGTTTTTATATGAGGTCCTACTAGGTGGTCAGACTGACCTGAACTCTCTATCCCCCTGCCTTAGCTTTACCAGTGCTGGGTTTATAGGTATGTTCCACCACACCTGGCTTTCTCGCTCTCTCATTGTTTTTTATTTTATTTTATTTTATTTTTTGAGACAGGGTTTCTTTGTGTAGGCTTGCTGTTTTAGAACTCACTCTGTAGACCAGGCTGACAATGAACTCAGAGAGCCGCCTGTCTCTGCCTCTCAACTGCTGGGATTAAAGGGGTGCATCACCACCGCCCGGCTCTCTGTTATGTTTTTATTTTTTATTTTTTTTAAGATTTATTTATTATGTATACAGCATTTTCCCTACATATATGCTGCAGACCAGAAGAGAGCACCAGATCTCATTACAGATGGTTGTGAGTTGTGAGCCACCATGTGGTTGCTGGGAATTGAACTCAGGACCTCTGGAAGAGCAGTCAGTGCTCTTAACCTCTGAGCCATCTCTCCAGCCCTATTTTTATTTTTATTTTTTTTTGATTTTTCAAGACAGGGTTTCTTTGTAGCTTTGGTGCCTGTCCCGGAACTAGCTCTTGTAGACCAGGCTGGCCTCAAACTCCCAGAGATCCGCTTGCCTCTGCCTCCCAAGTGCTGGTATTAAAGGCGTGCGCCACCATCGCCCGGCTCTCTGTTATGTTTTAAAGGTGAGTGTCTCCCTAAAGTCAGACCTCAGTCATATTCTTTTTTCTTTTTTTAAAATTTTATTTATTTATTTATTTATTTGTTTGCTTGTTTGTTTGTTTATTATGTATACAGTGCTCTGCCTGCATTTATCCCTGCAGGCCAGAAGAGGGCACCAAATCTCATTACAGATGGTTGTGAGCTACCATGTGGTTGCTGGGAATTGAACTCAGGACCTTTGAAAGAGCAGGCAGAGCTCTTTATGATTGAGCCATATCTCCAGCCCGCCATATTCTTTTCAAAATACTTTTTTTCTTTTTTTCAATAAACTTTCAAAGTCTTTATGCTTCTTATGGACACATTGTGGTTGAGGGTGGAAATAATCCCCCAATGATATTTCTACACTCAACTCTTTCTCCCTTCCCCCTGTCCCGCTGTTGATTCTCTCTGAGATATAATGATTTGTCCCAATCTTACCTCATGTCAAACACTTCTTTCTTTTTTTTCCTTCTCTCTTTTTAATTTGAGACAGAGTCTTATGCATCTCAAGATAGTCTGGAACTCTTTATGTAGCCAAAGATGATGATATTTTACTTCTTATCTTCCTACCTCCACTTCCCGATTGCTGAGATTAGAGAGATTCACTGCTACCACACCTGGCAACATCCTTTCTTTCTTTTTAAAAAAGACATTATTTTATGTACATGTACGTACGCATTTATGCAAGGGCCCATGAAGACAAAAAGAGGATCTGCTGGGACTGGGGTTACAAGGGTTTGTGAGTGGCCTGACGTGGATGCTGGGAATCAAACTTTGGTCATTTGCAAGAGCAGTGAGCACTCAACCTTGGACCTATCTCTTCAGCCCCCAGCACCCTTCACTTTAGGTCAGTCCTGAAGGTCCAAGTCCGACTATCTCTCCTTCACACCCCCATGCCTGATCCAGTAAATTCTCTTCATTGATTTTAATCATACCTGCTTTATAATTAGTTTCTACTTTCCCACTCATAAGTTTGACTAAACCTTTCTTTTCTTTTCTTTAAAAAATTTATTTATTTTTATTTTATGTGCATTGGTGTTTTTGCTTGCATGCATGTCTGTGTGAGGGTGTCAGATCTTGGAGTCACAGACAGGTGTGAACTGCCATGTGGGTGCTGTGAATTGAACCCAGGTCCTTTGGATGAGCAGTCAGTGCTCTTAACTGTGAGTCATCTCTCCAGCCTCAAATATTTATTTTCTCACTCATGAATGCCTTTGTTGTTTGCTTTTTGTTTTGTTTTATTTTTTGAGACAGGATCTTACTATGTAAGTCTGGTTGGCCTGGAACTTGCTACATAGACCTGGATGACCTCAAACTCAGAGATCCACCTGCCTCTACCTTTGGAGTGCTGTGATAAAAGGTATGGGCCATAAGCTGGACACTGGTAGCACACACCTTTAATCCCAGCACTTGGGAGGCAGAGGCAGGCAGAGCTCTGTGAGTTTGAGGCCAGCCTAGTCTACAGAGTAAGTTCAAGGACAGACTGCAAAGTTACACAGAGAAATCCTGTCTCGAAACAAAACAAAACAAAACAACAACAACAAAAGTGTGGGCCACAATGCCAGGCTTCACTCCTGGATTCCTAATTCTTGCTCATTTTCACTATCTACTCTAAGCGATACATTCTACCTAATGCCTTGCATGTACAACTCGGCAGTCACCTTTTTGAGTACATGTTATGGTTGGGATAGGAAATGTTCCCCTGAAGGTTTATGTGTTGAAGGCTTGGGCTCCAGCTGTGTTTGTTATTGAGAGGTGCTCAGATCACGAGGAGTCTAACTTCATCCACAGGTAATTCATTAATGAATTTATGGCAGAATGGACTGTTAGCTTGCCCAGAAGTGATAGTGCAATCCCAGCACTCCCAGAGGCAGGTGGATCTCTGTGAGTTCGAGGCCAGACTGGTCTAAAGAGCAAGTTCCAGGATGGCCAGGACTGTTACAGAGAGAATCCCTTTCTTGGAAAAACAAAACAAAGAAGCAAAAAGAAGATAGGGTCTGGTGGAGAAAGTAGGTCATGGGGGGGGGGGGGGGGATATGCCCTAGAAAGGTATACCTTATCCCTAGTCTCTGCCACATTCTGCTTCCCAGCTTCCATGAGGGTTCTGCTCGGTCACATGTTCCCTGCTGTAATGTTCTTGCCTCACCATGGCCCCAGAAACAATGAAGCCAAGTGGCCATACTCTGGATCATTAAGAAAAAAAAAAAAAAAAAGAAAAAAAAAAAAAAAACACCTTTGCTCCTTGAAGTTGCTTTTGCTTTGGCTGGGATTTTGTCACCAGCGACAGAAAGTCTAACACCACATCTCTTGTGATCTTCTCAGCCAGACAGCCTTCCCTGCTTCCTTTGCATTCGGATGCTAATGTGGGCTGTTTCCCTTGCATGACTGCCTCCGTATGGTCTATGTTTCTCATTTATTTGTACGTGTCAAGTTCCCCAGAGGATGAAAACCATTTAGAGTAGAAACCAGAATTGCTCTGCCTTGCCTTTCCAACGTTATGCTGCCCACTGTTTTACAGCAGCAGGCCGCTAGCACACAGTAGTAAAATGAATAAAGACAGATATGTATTTATGAAAATAGAGCAAATATTATCCCAGCTGAAAACTAAAAAAAGCATCGTTAGATTACTGGTCTGTGGTGGCACACGCCTTTAGTCCCAGCACTTGGGAGGCAGACTCGGTGGATTTCTGAGTTCAAGGCCAGCCTGGTCTACAGAACAAGTTCCAGGGCTACACAGAGAAACCTTGTCTTGAAAAACAAAACAAAAATCCTTAGGTGACAGATGTGGCCTGGGAGAAGTGTATCTTTAACAACACATCGGTAGGTTCCAAGAAACACAGGCATGTATCTATAAAACAGATAGGCCTGTGCCCGGATGTAGACGTGCACTATTTAGGGAAGCAGACATTTCAGCAGGGAAAACAGCAGCCTCTAAAGAAGCTGAGAGTGCTGCAAAAGATAATCAGATGTTTGCGTGGATGGGAGAGCGGCTTTGCCTGTGTTTGGGGGAACCTGGCGAGTGTAGCTCTGGAAGGGTGGAGATGAAACACTGCTCATAGAGTAAATTTGTCAACGGAGCATCCTATTCATACTTCCCAAGAAGCTTATACAAGGGCCCAGCTAAGAACTTGGCTTTTGAGGAGATAACATGTTTCTGAGCCTCAGCCAGGGTCCACCATTCCTCAGCCTGGAACTTCCTTCCTCTAGATCCCATACATTGCCTGGTTGCTGACTTTAGTGGACACCAGGGGGCAGTGTGTGGCCATGATGAGTCTAAGAGGACGTGGGTTGAAGGCCAGGAACCTGGAGGGGGGGGACGACCTTAGACTCTTATAGAGGAAACCCCCACGGCCTTAGGCCTCAGTCCTGAGGTCCTGAAGGATAAATTCCTGCTGGTAATCATATTTCTTCTTCTTTCTGTCTCTGGAGTCAATTGAGGCACAAAGAAAGGGCAAAGCTGGGTTCCTGGGAAGCCTTTCTTCCTTACAGGAATCACGGCAGAGATTTCTTGCCCCTCCTCCCACAGCTCCCCAACTAAAGGCCCCCAGCTGCTGTCCTGACCGGAAGGGAGTCTCTTCCTGCTGGTTTCCTGGAGCTGGGTTTGGATAGGGGCAGGAAAGGCCCCTCCCTGGGAGGAAAGACTATAGGAACATGGCCTTCCTATGGCGGCAGAGGGCAGGTGAAATGACAAACAGCAAGCCCTGTTCCCAGGAACGAGGCTCCGTAGAACTGTCATGGACACAGACCCCACGAAGAAGGGAATATTGTACAAAAACACATACTTTTTTTTTAAATTTTAAAGACTACAGAAATTGTGCCGTGACTGTACTTGGCTTCCATTTCCACCAATCCAAAGGTCTGTGGGAAAGGTGAGGGTGAGAAACGGGAAGAGAGGGGAGTAGAGATCCCCGGTTCCAGCAGAGGAAAGGGAAAACATGGCTGCCGAAGACCAGCTGCCCCCTAGGCCTGGCCATCGCTGTCTTTACTCCTCCACACCACAAGAGTGACCAGGAAAGGGATGAGGCAGATGGGAGCGATGATCATGGCTAAGAGCACATCCTCTGGCGGATCGGAGAAGGTGGGCTGCATCAGGGAGCAGTTGGCAAAGTGTATCACGTGAGTCTCCAAGATGAACCTTTCTGCCAAAGGGTTTGGGAAACCCAGGCCAAACCGCTCCGCAAAGTACTCCAAGCAATACTGCAGGTCACTGTAATGCCTTGGGAAGGGAGCGGTAGAGGATCTGAGTGAGGGAAGGGTTGGGAGCAGGGAGAGGGGCATCCCACACTCACTCAGGGTCCACCCACAAGGAGTGTGGGCCCCACTCCCGGCCCGAGCCACCCTTCAACACTGCCCCTACCTGCTAATCAAAGTCCAGTTGCACCAATCTTTGACAGAGTTCATATGACCATTATAAAGAGACCAGCAATCTAGGACATTCTCTTCGTAGCTCTCCTCCACATTCTCTGCGGGGACAGAGGCTTCACAGTGACCACGCCCCTGCCCCTGCCCCTCCCTCCAAGCCTTCTGACCCAGGTATTTCCAAAGTTGAGCCCTTTGCCTTTAGAGAAGGGAATCCCTCGGAAAATTTCCCTAGCAGGACACTTGTGGCTAAGGGGTGGTCCGGGCTCTGGAATCCTGTAATGGCTTCCATGTGTACACTGTGTCCCTTCCAGCCTCGCACGCACATTCACATACACCTATTTGGGTCTTTTTAGCCAACTGGGGTAGGACACCTTAAAGCTGGATTCGGGCTTTGCGGGATAACAGGCAAAAAGACCATAGGAACCCCCAGAGACACCACGGAGGTTAGCGGGACATCAACTGGCCCTCGGATGGTCATTGTGAAAGGACCCCTCCCCTGTGCTGGCTTTATCCTTCTGCTAGGTCGTTCTCCCACAGGCTTGGACACCCACCTTTTGACAGCAAGCTGTCCTCAGTGGGAAGAGATTGATTCAGGGACTCCGGAGAAGTTGAGGCAGCTGTAAAAAGACGAGCGAGAAGGGTGAGGTGATGTGGGGAGAGGTCTGAACAGTGGTGCCTGTTAAAGGGGTAGTGACCAAGGCTCTGGAAAGGCAGCACCGCTTTGGAACATAAAGAGAAATAATCTCCCCCTCCCTACTTTATTGTCCTAGTCCGGGAAGGGAGCGGCTGGTACCAGCTGCGCCCCACTCGTACCCGGGGCCCAAAGCCCTCTCCTTTGTCAGTCCCGGACCTCCCAAGACCTCTCCGCCAGGCCCTGGCAGGAACCCCAGCTTTCCTTAAATGGAAAGCGTCGTCCTTTGCCAATCGGGAGTTGTGCTCAGGGCCCATCTGCAGGTCAGAGCTGCTCCCTCCGCACGTCGGTTGGTACTCGCATGGTGGTCCCGTGCTGGCCTCGGTAGTCCAGGCCCCTTCCCCTCCCGGACCTCCCTCGTCTCCCACCCGGGCCCCCGGCGTTGCGCTCACCGCCCAGCAAAATCAGCAGCAGAAGCAGCAACAGCGGAGGGAGGCGGAGCGCTGCCGGCCACCCGGCGAGGATCCTAGCGAGCCGCGATCCACCCGGGGCGCGCTCCTCCAGGAACCGGGCCATCGCGCCTTGGGCGAGAAGGCGAGGAGGGGCGCTGGAGCTGAGCTAGCCCGGGCGGGGGAGCCTGTTTCCCCGGCCCGAGCCGCAGGAAGCCGCGCCGCTTCCTCGGAGGGGCTGGGACGGCGGCGGCCACGTGGGGGGCGGGCTGCAGGGGGAGTCACTGCCGCACCCGCGCCTGGCGCCCGCGCCTCGCTCCGCCTGGCGCGCCTTGGCCTACTCTTCCTTCCAGCTGGGTCTGTGGGGCTGGACAGCTCCCCCGTAACCCCAGAACCCGGGTTTCACTTCTCGCCCGGTACTAACTCCCAGCATCAGCTGAGGGATTCAAGTCGCTTCCTTCTCACGCCAAGTGTGGGGACCAGCTGCCATCCCAGACCTGGGGAAGAGGGAGGCGGCTGGTCGCTCCAAAGCCCTCCAGACGCCTAGCTTGGTTTCTGAGGCAGGGGTCTTAGGGAAGCGGTGCTAGGAGCTGCGCCCGCCCGCTTTTCCCAGGGAACACCCACTGATGTCAGCCTGTCTGCCAAGTCCCAGGGAGGAGAAGAGGGGCCTGGCTCTACTGAGAAATGGAAAAAGAGCAGGGAAGCAGGTTAGGGAGGAACTAAATTCTGGGTCCTTCACCCACAAACCTGATATGGCAGTGCAAACGTAACACAACTACATTTCCAGGAATATGGCCACCCAGGTTGCTATAAAGAAGGGAGGGACTAGAACTTCCAATATTCCTCTAGTGTTGGAGGTGACTTATTGTTTGCTGCTGTGAGTGGAACCTCAGCCCCAAGGTATGCCTGTTGCCACCTTTTGACCGAGGAGGCAGCAGCTAAAGCTCAAGGAAAGACTGCAAGACTTGAACTGGGAAGTTCTGGTCCTAATTCTCCTTTCCCACTCCCCAGCTGTACAGCCTTGAAGCCCACATTTGCCGTCAGGGCTTCTCATAACCTCTTGTGATGACTTTACCTCGTCTGTGGAAAGAGATTGCACTTACTCTACAGAAGCCAGTTTTCCCTTTCCTGAGTGACTTGACTAAGGTCACATTATTGGGAAGCCCCAAGGCTCCGCTTAGGCCTCTAGGGACCCTGTCTGCTATCACAGCTCAGCTGTTGCTGGATACTGAGCCAGCAGTTCGTGAGCCGGAAGCAGCCCAGGAGCTGGTTTGGCTATGATGTTCAACCCCAGGCACACAGCTGTCAGCACAAAACTTTCCCAATTACTCCCAGACGTTGACCCTTGAACTCAGCTGTTGCTGTTGTCACAGTTTACTGATTCCTGTCCACTGAAGTTCTCTTTTGTGATCTCTTTTTTAAAGATTATTGTCTCAGGACCTCAAAGGTCCATTGGTAAGGATCGTTCTTGCAAAGGCACAGAGGAGAGTCGGATATCCCCAGAGCCACTTCAAACTGGGGAACAAGATCTATAGCTTTCATTCTTTCTGGAACTGCCCCTTTCTTCATTAAATTTTAAATACTATTTTATTTATCTGTGTGTGTATGAGTGGACATGTATGTATGTACATATGTGTACCGGTGCCTGAAGAGGCCAGAGTACAGTGTGGGGTTTTCTGGAGCTGGAGTTATAGGAGGGTGTGAGTTACCTGATGTGAATACTGGGGACAGAACCCCCCATCCTGTGCAAAAGCAGAAAACGTTCTTAACCACTAAGCCACCTCCCTAGCCTGTCTTCCTTTCTTCCTAATTTCCTTCCTTCTTCCCTCCCTCCCTCCCTCCCTTCCTTCCTTCCTTTTGGATCAGTACCTCATAAAGCTCTAACCGACCTCAGCACAGTCAAGGACGATGTTGAACTCCTGATCTGTCTGCTCCACTTTCTGAGTAGAGTGTTGGGATGACAGGTGCATACATCCACACCCAGTTTATGCTGTGTTAAGGAGAAAATCCAGGGCCTCATGACTGCAAGGCAAGCTCTCCATCAGCTGAACATATTTCCAGCCCAGGATGCCCTTTTCAAGAAGGAAATTTGGTCAAGAGGGAGGTTTCTGGGCCATAAAATTGAGAGAAAGAGAGATAATCCGGGTGTTGGTGGTGCATGCCTTTAATCCCAGCACTTGGGAGGCAGAGGCAGGTGGATCTCTGTAAGTTTGAGGCTAGCCTGGTCTACAAGAGCTAGTTCTAGGACAGGCTCCAAAGCTACAGACAAGCACTGTCTCCAAAAAAAAAAAAAAGAAAAGAAAAAAAGAAGGATAGAAAGATTGATTGGTTGAGAGGTGAGCAAGGAGGTGTAGAAAGCAAAAAGAACAAAAAGAAGGCAACTCTACTGGGTGGGACTAGAGCCCACTGTGGGTCACGGTCAAGGTTAAAGGTCACAGAAGCAAATATAGTTTTAAATGAGACAGTCTAGCGTAATGTAAGTAGGATGGTTGCAGGTTCAAGGCTGGCCTGATCTAATGGTAAGTTCCTGGTGAGCAGAGCTACTTAGCCAAACCCTCTCTCAGAAATGATGGCAACAAAACAAAACACACAGAAATGTATTTTTAAAAAAATTTGGACTTTCCAGGCACATGCCTTTGATCCCGGCACTCGGGAGGCAGAGGCAGGCAGATCTCTGTAAATTCAGGGTCAACATGGTCCACCATGTTAAGTTCCAGGACAGCCAGGCTGTTACACAGAGAAACTCTGTCTCAAAAAAACAAAACAAAAAATTGGACTTATTTATTTCATGTGTATTAGCATTTCTTCTATATGTATACATATGTGTGATGTTTGTGCCTGGTGTCCACAGAGAGCAGAAGAGGGTCTCTAAACCCTTGGAACTGGAGTTACAGATGGTTGAGAGCCACCATGTGGGTGCTGGGAATTGAACCCTGATCCTTTGCAAGAGCAACAAGTGCTCTAAACAAGCAAGCCATCTCTCCAGATGTGTATTGCATCTCCCTCCATTATCCAGTCTCCTTTCCTTCTTCCCTTCCCTTTAAAGCCCTTTCTCCATCCTCACAGTCCCTGTGGAGGTCGACATGGGAGTGGCCCCACAGACTCACATGCTTTAGTACTTGGTCCCTAGTTGGTGGAACTGGGAAAGATTTGCAGGGGTATCTCACTGGGGCAGCAGGGAGGCTTTGGGGTCTCAAAAGACTCATGCCCTTCCTAGTATTCTCTCTTTGGGTTATGGGTCAAGGTGTGTCTTCTCTGCTGGTCCCTTCACTGTCCTATCATGGACTCCAACCCTCTGAAATCATAACCCAAATCAAATGCTTCCTTTTCTAAGTTGCTTTGACCGTGGTGTTTTATTGCAGCAACAGCCCCCTTCTAATTTCCCTTCCCCCTGTTCTGTTCTGTCTCTTCCCTCTGTCTCTGTCTCTTTGTGTATGTGTGTATTTAAATCTAGATTCTACAGATGACAGAAAACATGCAATATTTGTCTTCTTGAGCCTGGCTTATTTTGCTTAGCATGATTGCCTCCAATTCCTTCTGGTTTCCTGCAAATGACATAGTGTTGCAGACTTCATTTTCCTTTATGGCCAAATAAAACTCCGCTGTGTACAAGTCATGTTTCCTTTTTCTGCTGTTTTAGAGATATGGTGTCACTCGGGAGCCGCGCGTCATGACATTTTCTTTCTTCTTTTATTTATTGTATTATTAATTGGGGGCTATAGGCATTTATCTGCCTGTCACATCTCACATGTGAAGGACAGAAGACAATTTTTGGGAGTTGGTTCTCTCCTTACATCTTTCCATAGGTTCAGGGGATTGGACTCAGGTAGTCAGGATTGCATGGCATGTATTTTCCCAAAGGCTGAGGCATCTTGCTGATGTGGGAGTGTCATATATCAATCTGTTGATTTCATTGGTTAAGTAATAAACAAACTGCTTGGGCTCATAGCTTAGAACATCGGTGGGTGGAGTAAACAGAACAGAATGCTGGGAGGAAGAGGAAGTGAGGTAAGATGCCTCAGACAGAGACGCCATTCTCCGCTCTCCTGGGCAGACGCAATTCAGCTCCGACCCAGGATGGACATAGGCTAGAATCTTCCCAGTAAGCGCATCTTGGGGTGCAACACAGATGATTAGAAATGGGCTAAATTAACATGTGAGAATTAGCCTAGAAGAGGCTAGATAGAAATGGGCCAAGCAGTGTTTAAAAGAATACAGTTTGTGTGTTGTTATTTCGGGCATAAGCTAGCCAGGCGGCTGGGGTGCTGGGGATGCAGCCCCGACGCTCTTTTTACTACATCTTGCCAACCCTCACATTTTCTAGGCTATCTCCACTTCTTGGCTATTGTGAACAGTGCAGCAGCAATAAACATGCACTTGCAGATATCACTATGCTAACGTGACAGAATCTTTTGGGATTTCCCAGGAGTGATACAGCTGCATTATATGCTCGTTATACATTTTTCTAGGAATCTCCATACTGATTTACATACTCACAAAGGACAGCCAATCAAAATCATCCCTGACTGGGCAGTGGTGACACACATATTATTCCCAGCATTTGAGAGGCAGAGGTCAGGTGGATCTCTGCGAGTTCAAGGCCAGTCTGGTCTACAAAGAGAGTTCCAGGCCAACCAGGGTTCCCAGTGAAACTTTGTCTCTCAAAAGTCAAAAAGCAATAGTTATTCCTGAACTCGATAGCCCAGACCCTCCCTTGCAGAGTCTGGGAACATCCCTGCCTATTGATTCTGCTCTCCCCATTCCCCATACCAGTTGGATATTTAGATATTTCATTGACCCCTTGAGTGCATCCTGGTAACTGAGGGTCTCTTGGGGGAGGGAAGGATCCTTTGTGGTGGACCAGGGACTATAGACCTCAGCTTCCTCTTCCAAGAAGCTCCAGGAGACAATCTTAGGATCCCGAGCTATTGGAAGGGGAGGGTTCACTGGGGACCTAGTTGGTCCTTTCCCAGAAGTCCTTCATTTCTCTCCCAAGGGTTATTACTTTCCCCTTCCAATCCCATTTCTGCTGTTAAGTATACACTTAGTGGAGGTCTTGAGAGGAGGCTTGGTCGGTTAGCGGTAAACGTACCTGTTGCCGAGTCTGATGGCCTGGGTTCGATCCCTGGGTCCCATATGGTGGAAGGAGAGAGCTGACTCCTCCAAGTTGTCCTCTGACCTCCACAAATGTGCCATGTTCATGCACATACGCGTATGCATACAAAATAAGTAAATAAAAATATAATAAAAATTAAAACAACCTCACACATATGCAACTCTGTTTTGCTTTGTTTTGTTTTCTGAGAGGAAGATCTCAGTCTGTAGCCAAGGCTAGCCTGGAATTCACTGAGTAATCCAAACTGACCTCAAACTCACAGCAATCCTCCTGGGTCAGCCTACTAT